GGGGGAGGGGAAATGGCCTTGGCAGCGAAAGGGTTAAATATATGGGTAAAGGTCTCCACTTTAAGAAACAATAACAGGGGAGTGGCTGTGTGTATAGTCTATTTGGATTTTGTTAAAAGCCAGATACTGGATACAGTTCTAATGAATAAGGCTGCTGGCTTAAAATAAAATACCATAACACTATGTAAATAAATAGAAAACACATTCAGAGATTTGTGATCAGTGACTCATATCCTGAATGATCTACGATTACACATGGGTTCAGTGTTGGGACAATTACTCTTTAGCTTGTTTGAACAAAAATGAGTTTCAGATTGAAAGAACTGTTAGTGTGTTTTTGAGGGCACAATTCTATGTAATTTAATAATGCTCTACTTTGCAAAATGACCTAGGCATTGGGGTCTAAACCTAGGTGAATTAGAAAAGAATGATGAAGAATCGTCGGGAGTCCTTGTGGAACATAGAAGCAGCATGGTGGTATTAAATCTAAGTCCACAAAGCATTGATGCAGCCTTGTCCTAAATTTCCACTTAAATTTTGGCTTACAGTTGACAAAAAAGGAACTAAAGGAATGTCAAAAGGAGCACAACTACATTATTAAGGGTCACAGAAAATGTAAACTGGAGGAAATATTTGAAGTGACCAGAATTGGTTACTTTGTATGAATAGATACAAATAAATAAATGGTCCATACAGAAAATGCAATGGAAAACTCTTCAATTGAAGACAAAAGAGCATCATTTGTGATGAACGAAAGACGTTTAAAGCTGAACTATTTCAAAAAATGGGGAGGCCTGTTATAAAGTACTGTGTTTGAGGATGAAGAGAGGTATCACTTTAGCATTTTAAAAGTGCATTTATAAAATGGAGTTATGGCAATTAGGTCACCCCAAAAGAACAAAACAACATTGGACCATACCTGATTTCCATCAATTTCAACCACTTGTTGCTGAACAATGATCTTAGTTTCTCCAGTACTGGAATTTGTGGGCCAGTGTGAAATGAGTAATCGCATGCTGACCAAAGCCTCGCGTACAACGCTTGACTGCTCATCGGGCGAGCCATATTCCACTATACCAGAAAAGAATTGATTGCTATATATGAAACAAGTTAGCAGTATAATCACACAATATTTCATATTTCAGTACTGAATAAGGCAAACTCAAAGAAAAAAAAATCTTCCAACAAATACCACTGCCTCTGGATAATGTTATTCATTGCGTAACATTGGTCTACAATCTTGTAGGAAGTGTTTTATTTTAAAGCTTGGCTGTATCGAACACTTCCTGTAAAATGGCTTGGACCAAGAGTTTGGATGCTAATTCGCTGTAAGTAGTGATTATCCACACTTCGACTATATGAACTTAAAAAGAGAACTATGGTCAAACCTTTTCTGGCCGTAGTTCTCTTTGGGGTCACAGGAGCACATTTACTAATGTCTCCCTGTAACCAAAAACTCAGCTATTGCCTACTATCTGTTGATAGCATAAAGCCACGCTGCAGCCGGGACGGATCCTAACAATATTGTCGGGATCCACCCCGCTACCTGATTGACAGCTGGCTCTGCCTTTCTAGACCCAGAACCAGCTATGCCCGCCCCCCTCCTCCATCTGTCCCTGCAAATCAGTGCTGGAGGAATGGAGAGGAGACGGGGGGGGGATCCCTGCAGGGAGTGATGACTGACCGCGCTCTGCAGGGAGAAGATCAGAACTCAGTGACCGCTTCTCCAGACAAAAGGTTGTTTTTTGTTTTTTTAAAGTTGGTTTAGTTGGGTTTTTCTGCTATCCAGGACTCCATTAGGAGAGATTTCCCTTCACTTTCTGTTCCACTGCATTTAGCAGGCTCCATGGAAGGGGAAATCTGCAACAGGGACACTGACAGCAGTAACAAAGTTGACAAGGGTTCTTCTATTTAAAAAAAAAAAGGAGGTCACAGTATTAGGACCAGCGAGTTGTTTGGAAGCAGAATAGTTTATATTTGGCAGCAGTTTTGTAAAGATTAGCAAAAAAAAAAAAGGGAAGAGTTTGCTTTAGATGAATGGACCACATTCACAATAACGTAAAGTTTAGGTCTACTTCAAAATATGAAGCGGCACTAGGAGAGTTGCTGGAGGGTGGTTCGAAACAGGTCATAAGTAATTAAATATATCTCAGGGTATTCTGGTCCATGTGCCCTGCAGCAGCTCTGCATGGTGGATATAGATTGTGCATATTTAACTCTTGCATTTTTTACATTTGCCTCAATTCCAAGTTCCAATACGTTATTTTCCACAGATAGCAGCATACAAAGGACACAATCTGCTTACACGTTTCAGCCACAAAGGGCCTTAATTACTATCAACTTAAAGCCCTTTTTGGCTGAAACGCGTAATGCTGGAGTAATGGGCTTGCATTGAATTTGGAGATATTCAATAGATAGAATAGATAAGACTAGCAGGGTAAAGCAGGTACACAGTTTATTCATATTCCTTTAGCCAGTGCCTGATAACATTGAAAGGAGACAACTACAAACCTTGGAGCCTTCATATAGACAAATACATAAAATGATTTACTTTCTTACACTCATGTTACAGCCATGCATAAAACATGCATGCATGCACGCACGCACAACCCCCCCATGCCATAATTAAGTAAAAGTTTCTTACTTGTGTACATTTTGCAAGATATTCTTGAAACACCTTTACTTAAAGGAAATCCATTCAGATGCATCTGTCCTCTTTCATAGCTGATATTAAATGCCACCTTCATGTCACAATAGCAGAAATAGTAATAAAAAAATAAAAAAAAATAGAAAAATCAGAATATAAAACACTCCATTCATTTTATACAACAAATGCCTCTTCCAATTTCTTAAAGCCAAACTACAGCCCAATGTTGTAACACCTTGGAATGTTGGAACATAACACAAGGGGTTGTGAATATACCTGGTTGCAAAAAAAGATGGCAATAAAAACCTGACAACTCTCTACTCAATTTGTTTTACAGTTACTTGTGGCTCGGTTTTCTGAGGGGAAACATAAATGCAGTGGGACTAGCTGGAGGTGTTCAGAGCAGCCTAGTGACTGATACGTACTTTGATTACTCCCCTGATGTCCCATTTGTTTCCCAGTTAAAAGTAGCCCTGTGTAAGCTCCCAGTCGATCTGGTTAGAGCTTGCACATTTATTTATTTAATTTATTACAGGTATTTATACAGCGCCGGCAATTTATGCAGCATTTCACAAAGGGCACATTCACATCAGTCCCTGCCCTCAAGGAGCTTACAATCTAAGATCCCTGGATCACATGTATACATATGAGGGCCGATTTAGACAGGAGCCAATTAACCTTCCAGCATGTCTTTGGAGTGTGGGAGGAAACTGGATTACCCAGGGGAAACACATGCAAAACACATGCAAACTCCTTACATACTACATTTCTAGTCACACGTGAGATCTGTGGTCTCCTGGTTTATACCACTTCATGTTGTGGGAAGATGGAAGAGGGGTAAACAGTGGATAAAATACTTAGACCTAACCTGTCATAAACTTGTGCAATTCAAAATAAGCCGGATGGGGAAAGGCAGTGCAGCTGAACAGAACTACTAACAGTTGGCACTGGACTGTGTGATGTAAACAATCCAGTCATGTGAAAGCTGCAAACATGTTACACAATGCATATGCTATTAAGACTATAAAAAAAAAAAAAGAAGATTTCTCTCATATATATATGCAATATATTTTGCAATATAGTGTGTGAGAATATATATATATATATATATACACACACACACACAGATACATACATACACACTAGGAGCTCAGTGACTACAAGCGTGGTACCGTGATAGGTTGCCACCTGTGCAATAAGTCCATCCGTGAAATTTCCTTGCTACTAAATATTCCACGGTCAACTGTTAGTGGTATTATGACAAAGTGGAAGCAACTGGGAACAGCAACTCGGCCACATAAAATGACAGAGCGGGGTCAGCGCATGTGCGCAGAAGTCGCCAACTGTCTGCAGAGTCAATAGCTACAGACCTCCAAACTTCATTTGACCTTCAAATTGGCACAACAACAGTGCGTAGAGAGCTTCATGGAATGGGTTTCCATGGTCGAGCAGCTGCATCCAAGCCTTACATTACCAAGTGCAATGTAAAGCGTCGGATGCAGTGGTGTAAAGCACGCCACCACTGGACTCTACAGAAGTGGAGACGTGATATCTGGAGTGACAAATCATACTACTCTGTCTGGCAATCCACTGGACGTGCCTGAGTTTGGCGGTTGCTAGGAGAACGGTACTTGCCTGACTGCATAGTGCCAAGTGTAAAGTTTGGTGGATGGGGGATTATTGTGTGGGGTTGTTTTTCAGGGGCTGGACTTGGCCACTCAGAACACCTTTGGGATGAATTAGGAGCGCAGACTGGGAGCCAGGTCTTCTTGTCCATTATCAGTATTGTGCGGGAGGGTACTGACGGCAGAGGAGCCATAGGCTCCTTCTGCAGTCAAGCTGTGACTGCAGGGTGGGAGCGTGGCCGGCCGCACGCTATGTGTGTCTCTAGGGACACACACTGTCAGGGTACGTTCACACCAGATGCAGTACGTTCCGGCCCGATTCTGGCTGGAACCCACTGCATCGCATTGCGGCCGGCTCACTTTTTTGTGGGCCAGGAGGGGGCGTGGAGGGCCATTGAAGTGAATGGCACCATAGCCATAGTGCCAGCCATAGAGGAGCCAGAGGAACAAGTGAGCCGGCCGCAATGAGATGCAGTGCGTTCCAGCCAGAATCAGGCCGGAACGCACTGCATCTGGTGTGAACCTAGCCTTAGGTGCGGGCATGGCTGTAATTGTGCATACACAGGTGCCTCCACAGCAGTCAGTTAGCTGATGGAGGCACCCATACAATGACATTTTGTTTATAGTAAGCCTGGCCCCCTTCAATAAAAAAAATTTCAAAAAACCCTGAAGGTTTAATGTCGCTTTACCATATGAAATAGTTTGATCCTTATCCTAAATTTGATACCAAGTACAGTACTCGGTACAAGTACGAGTACATGTACCGATACTTTTGAGCTCCAAGACTAGACTAGAGAAAAATTAAAAAATTAGGAGGCAGCTGTCATTTGTAAGGAGCACACGGAGCTCCTGGGATTTATACATCTCTGTTTTAATGTACGATTTTGTTTTTATAAATATAAATAAAGGGATGCACAGATACCAGTTTTGCGAGTACGAGTACTGGTACTTGCCGAGTACTTACAAGTACGAGTACCGATACATTTTTGTTTGTCATGTGACAGTTTTTCTAAAACAATACAGGTCCCAGCTGCAACCTCTGCAACCCCGGTAGTTCTCATGAAAATGCCAAATATCTGCACTGGTACTCAAAAGTATCTGTGCATCCCTAATTTTTAACATGAATGACGGCATGGTTTAGGTTAAATGATTTTCATCTACAGTCAGCTAGATACCATGCCTTTATAAAGCAACTGAACTCCAAAAGCTAAAGGCAGACAGAAGTCAAAGGACTAGTCGCAAGTATTGCCTTTGGTCCTTCTGCAGCTGATCTGTCCCCATTACTGACTTACAATGCCTTGTTCTGCAATGTGGAGTTGGCCACCTTGGTCAGAGCCTCCAGCAAGGAGAACAGTTATCAGCACATAAGTGACATCACCATATCTTACTCTACATAGCCTGAGATAATTACAGCAGTGCCTTAGATTTCACACTATAGTGTCAGAGCTGTAGGCACACTCACACTCAGGAGGCATTCCAAAAGGTAGGTATTTCAGGGTAATACTTAGGCACAACTAACATTTCTAGATGTACCCTATAACATACCAAAGCTTTACTTTTTGGAATCAGGTGCACTTTAAAGACAGCCCACTAGGATGCAGGCACAACCATGTTACCACACCTCGAAGTAAGCAGATGGAAGCCTCCATTGACAATGCGTCCCAACTAGAGCACTGAACTACTTACCCATCGGTGGGTAAGTCACTGCTCCGTGTGAGTCAAAGCATCCAGTCAGTGCCTCAAGCAGAACTGTGACAAAGACATGGAAGGCATCAGCTGTGAAGGAGGTGTTTCAGCACTCAGCACTGGGGTAGCAGTTAATATTTGGCTTTAGATCCACTGTAAGAATAAAAGCTTATTACGGAAAGTCAGTGACGCATACGATCTTTGCACCATTCAAGAAAACTCTTGGGTTATCCTAGCCAGGGGTTGTTTCTAACTTTTAAATAATCTATTTTTCATGTTTAATAAATAACAGTGTGGCATTTATTTCTGATAAATACATGAAGGCACGCTGTAAATGATTAACAAGCACCGATTATGCAATTGTTTTTGAGATCCTTAATAGCGCCAAACTTCCTTCCTTCTTCATAAGCAATTTCTGAAGAGTTAAAGGAAGATTCTTAATATAACTGATGGATCTATGTATAACAAGCCAAGACTTGAACTTCAGGAAGAGAAGAATAATCTAAGAGTAGTAGCTTGGATTTGCTGGGGTTAACAGGAAACAGGGTAAAGCTATCCTCAGGAAACAGATCAGAGGCCATACAAAAAAATATGTATTGAGGTGGAAATAGAATAGGTACCTTTATGCTTGTGGATATCCCTTTTATGAATTGGATTGCACAGTCTCTCATATAACCTTTATGAAGCTATAGTGGTACACTAAACATAACTAAGTTTCAGAAGATATTGCTTTGTGCTGTTTGTTTTAGCTAGTATTTTACATTTATTTCTGATAAAGAATAATTTCGCAGCACATTTTGCTGATGATTAATCGTATGTACTGTACGTTTTTACTTACACCAGAATACACACATACCATTTTAGACTGAAGAAAACCCGTACTAAGAGAAACACAGAGGCTGCCAATACGGAACAAGGTTTTTGAGAATACTCATTGCCTGGCTGTTAAGTTGATTCAAAGCTTCAGTTTTTTTCCCGAGTCACTGACCTAGAACACGTATGCAGAACAGGAGTTCTCACTTTCCCGGGACTTCAATGCATGCTTGGTATGGGACTGTCGATAATACAAAATCACCTGCACTCCATACAGCGTACAGACCTCGGATGAAAGGTTGGTGCTTGAAGTGACAACACTGATGGCACCGTGTCAGATACAGTCCATAATAGAAGTCACCAGCCCTCGATGATGTGTGCAAGAAGTAAAGCACTTTTTATTTAATCGTCACATGCGTCATACAGCTAACATAGTTACTATGTCGCCCAGAAGAAGGGACCCTGCGTGGCCCCCGAAACGTTGGCTGTTTGACGCATGTGACAATTGAATAAAAAGTGCTTTACTTCTTACACACATCATCGAGTGCTGGTGACTTCTATTATGGTATGGGACTGTAACACAGAAGGTACTGAACCATACAGCCTGGGGACTGGCATTTTCCGAGTACAATAATGGCTGCCTGCATATGTCTTTCAGTATGGGTTTGCTTTAATAAATGTTGTATGAGGTTATGAGATTTGAAGGAGCCATGTATCAAAAATTGAAAAACAGCAGTTTTGGTCATTATGTCTGGTCTTACAAACACTGAAATCTTAAAAGTAACCTATAAATAGTTTTGCTTGTATCTTCGTTATTTACAACCATGGGCAAAAATATTGGCACCCCTGCATTTTGGTCAGATAATGCACCACTTTGCACAGAAAATTGCTGCAATTACAAATGTTTAGGCATTCTCGTGTTTATTTCTTTTGTTTCTATTGGTATGACAAAATTAACACCTTTTTGACAAAACAAAATTACAGCTTTTTGGTTAAGCCCATCATTTTACCGTTTTCACAAAAAAAATGAGGCCTTTAAAGAAAACAAAATACAGTCCCTACAGTCAAACATGGTGGAGGTTCACTGATATTTTGGGGTTGCTTTGCTGCTTCAGGCACTGGATGTCTTGACTGTGTGCATGGCATTAGGAAATCTGAAGACTACCAAAGGGGTGCAATGTAGGGCCCAGTGTCAGTAAGTTGAGTCTCCGTCAAGGTCATGGGTCTTACAGCAGGACAATGATCCAAAGCACACGTCAAAAAAGCACCCGGAAATGGTTTCAGACAAAGCACTGGAGAGTGCTGGACTGGCCAGCAATGAGTCCAGATCTGAATCTCATAGAGCACCTGTGGAGAGATCTCAAAACAGCAGTTGGGAAAAAGAACCCTTACAATGTGAGAGACCTGGAGCAGTTGGCGAAAGAAGACTGGTCCAAAATTCCTGTACAGTGATGCAAGAAACTCATTGATGGTTACAGGAAGCAATTGATTTGAGTTATTTTTTCCAAGAGCTGGGCTACCAAATGTTAATTGAGGGTTCCAATCATTTTGTCCAGTGCATTTTTGGAGTTTTGCGTGGAATGTGTCAGATTTGGCTTTTTTTTTTTCTCCACTTTTTTTGTGTCATACCAATACAAACAAAAGAAATAAACATGAGAATGCCTAAACATTTGTAATTGCAACAATTTTGTGCACAAAGTGGTGGATTATCTGACAGAAATCCAGGGGTGCCAATATTTTTGCCCATGACTGTATTTGTCATAATAAAAAAAAAAAAACTATAATTTTTGTCAACTAGTTCCTAAATATTTTATATTTTAACATCTGGCCACCTGGGGGTGCTTAAGCCTGAATTAGAAAAGAAAGAAAAATAATTCAAACAATGACCTAAAACCATAAGGCCTGGTTCACACCTAGGGCAGTAGGATAAGCGCTTTTAAATGACCAACACAAGAAATTCCATAATTTTCAATGGCCCTTGTTCACACCTGAGCAGCAAAACGCCAAACGCAGAAAAAGGTACATGTGCTTCTTTTGGCAGTTTCAAATTCCTTTTTCCCCCATAGACTTCAATGGAAACGCCAGAAAACGCACAGCAGAAGCATGTTGCACATTTGCATGCTTGTTTTTGCATGTTTGCACGTGCATTCCTCCATTGACCGCAATGTTTAAGCTGCCAGTCAAAACGCATGTCTTCATGTACGCGCGTAAAAATGTGCAAACAACCGTACGCTGAATACACGTGTGCAAACATGTAAACACCTAGCCACCTAAGTGTGAACCAGGCCTTACTGTTATGCTGGGCACAGTGTCCAAGCTCAGGATGGCAGAAATTACTTTAGGTGAGGTTTCTAATCTGTCCTAGGTTTGATGATGCGTAAATATAATGTTATATGTCTTTGACCTCCAACACAGACTTCTGGATCATATGGGTATCAATAAAAGTAGCTGTACAAATTGAAAATAATTATGGATCACAGAGAGCAAGGTTCACCCCATACATGTGACAGATATTTGCAGATGAGGCTGTTTTATCTCTAATCTAACCTGTAAATAATCTAACCTGTAAATATCAGCATCTCAAATCATGAAACACATATGCATGGCCATTTCTTCTCATTTGTGTTTACATTACAATCCACAGGATTAAAAAAATTTGAATTTATATTATCAAGCATTGAGATTATCCTTACAAAGATCATGAACTATGATGTCCACATACAGTTGTGTGAAAAAGAAAGTATACTCTTTGAAAATTATTACTTCCAGTTATTGCTGCTAAAGATGGTTCTACAAGCTACTGAATCATAAGGTGTACTTAGTTTTTCACACACGACTTCTCCATATTGGCAAGTCAAAACTTTTTTTTTGTCTTTTTTAGTTTTGGACGGAGTGGAGAGAGATTAGAACACCTGTAAGGTTTTGATGCTGTCTATGTTCCCATTGGGGAGACTCATCCTCCATATTTGTCCTGGTGATTGTTATCACTAAAAGTGAAAGAAAATCCCAAATTTTGGGTTGTCACCAGAACAGGAATAGAGGTGAAATCTTCCAAGATACTAGTATTGGTGACCATGCTGACCAACACAGCTTTCCCTCACTTTCTGTAGTGGCTATCAGACAAGAAGTGAAGGGAAATCTCCCCAATGAGACACTGATGCCAAAAAAGCAATAGGGGGTATAACCCTCCCTTACTCTATCCAAAAAAAAAAGTTTTTGGCTTTAGTTCTACTTTAACACTTTGCTGCTTCCAGATATAATATGCCATCAAGAACTTAAAGTGACATTAAAGTTAAAAAAAAATTCTACTCCCCCAAAAGTTAATGTCAGCACTTACTTTAAATTATGTTTCTTAATCAGATCTTCATCCTCTTTCCTGTCGTTTTCATCTGTCCCTCCAGTGGTGCGGCGGGTCTCCGATCCAGCGCTGACTCCTCTGTCCTTACTGGCACTTCCGGTCCCAAGGTGTCTTCATGCGGGTGCACGCGTCCATAGACTTACCTTGCGCCTCTCTTCGTCTCCCGGCCGAAAATCCGGACTGCGTATGCGTCCGCCCCAAGATGCTTTGCGGTCGTCCCCGCAGTTTCAGATTTTCGGACGGGAGCGCGCGTCGAAGACAGGGATAAGTTTAAACTGCTTTTAAAGCGTTTTTAAAAAATAAAAAAAATCTTTTTGTATATATATATTTAAAACTTAACACCAGCTAAAACTACTATTTTGGTTTGTGTTAGCATGTCAACCTGTCAGGTTTTATTGGCGTACATATAGTCCCATTTAGGGTATTTTACTGCCTGGCCAGGTGACAAAACAAGTCACATGCGAGATCTCCCAAGTGTGGCAAAGAGCTTCTTTTTTACTGCATGTGCCCCTGTTTTGCCAACTTCACTTTCAGTAGACCACACAGGTAGCGAGTAAAAAATCTCCACAATTTCTACAGCAATGGCAATATGAACCAAACAGAGGTTCTATCCCCATCTGAAGACATACTGTTCATTTAAATACATTTTGCATGAAGATGATTGTATTCTATTCAAATTCTTCCGTAAAAAGCTATAAACGCTCACCTGTTCTATTATCGTCTTGTTGTCATGCTGGGTTGACACGTTAACTCTTATAAGTTCCTAAAGACAGAAAGGCACAATCATTGCAGTGTATAGTATTTGCACAGGCCAGTTAGATCAGATCTGTAACACACGGGTTAGTCTATATTAGAGGAACTGTCAATCATGAGCATGGAACGTCTATATTTGCCCTAATCCAAACCAATTACTAGCACTGTATATGACAGCAATGATGACAAAAATTATATATCGCAAGGCTGTAGTCTTGCACATCACCATCATCACAGGCTCACAAAACACTGTCCAAGCAATACAGGTTTACATAGTGTTATAGATGAGCCCCAAGTGTCACTTAAAGGGTGTAATCATATACAATTCGCAGAGAAATTCATGCTGTGACATTGCTTGTACATTTGTTCCATATGAATGCAGGCAAATACGAATGTTAATAACATATTTTCTTTCCAGCTCAAATGTAATATCAGGTAAATAACGCATTATGGCCACAAGATGGAACTAAGGAGCAGAGAACAAAAGTATTCATTTCCTATGTTTCTCAGCGCCATCTAGTGGCCATAATGTGGTATTTACCCTGATATTACAATCGAACTGGAAAGAAACTACTTTGATGTTACACTCGAACCCTAAGTTTCACATCATTCACAGCACTGTACGTAATAGTAAGTATAAAAAATATCCATGTTGGATGTAATAAGGAGTATTGAGGAAAAACAGTGTAAATCATTATTACAGAGAACAGCACATTAGTGTCTTAGAGTCTTTATAAATCACTGTGAACATTTCCAATTTGATAACTTGATGTTGCCCAAGCTTTTCAAATGTTTCCAGATGCTAACATGCCGCTAGTGATGAAATTGTTAGCACAACTATAATGTATTTTTAGAACTAAAATCCTAAAGCAGCTGACACATAAATACATTTGTACGGCACACTGCTAATTAAAAACAGTACTAAATCTGTAGTGCAAAAAACTGGAGTAATTACCCTTCACTACAATTAGTGGCAAAAGCATTAAGATTTAGGACTGCTCTGTGCACATTTGTGCTGGAGCGTATAAGAGGTTGCATCATCTTGGAAACTCAAAGCATGAGTATTTGGCTTCACAAAACAAAGGCATTGCACCAGCAGAAGAAACATCATCTGCAGCAGTGATTTTGTTAAGCAATAACTGAAAAAGAATTTAAAGCTGAAGTTTAATCTGTTCCCCAAATCAACATGCCAATTTCAATTTTAAAAGGGTGATTCCACTTTCCCAGGTGAATTTTGGAAAATAGAATTAGCCCATCCAATGTGGACCCCTTTCTGCCCCGACTATACTTACCTTTGGCCGAATGCTCCTTCCCCTCTGCTGATGCACTATCCATACTCCGTACATGGCAGGACAGCCCTGCGCTCTGAATTTTGAATTTTCCTCCAAATGGCGAGCACTTATTGGTCATCATGGTCACATGACCACACTGACCAATGACAATCACTTTGTTCCTCTTATATGTAGAAAGTTGACCCTAGAGCTGCAACTGTAATTTTCAGAATCGGCTAGTTGGCTGATTTAGTTTTCGATCAATTAATCAGATTTAAAAAAAAATGAAATTTATAATTGAAATGAATGGCACCACAGCACACCTCCCGTCCCAGAATTTGTCAGGCTGGAACCGAAAAAGACTGGGAACTGGCTGCAGGGCTCTGTGTCCCCTCTGATCCCCACTGGGAGCAGCGGAGATTGGAGGGGACACATCGCTGATGGAACACTGGCTCCAAGCGCGGAGGAGAGAAGCAGGGGATCCACACCAAATAATCGATAATGAGAATCGTTGACAATTACATTCATTATTATCGATTATTTTGATTAGTTGATTTAGCCCTAGATGGCCCCCTATCCAATCACCTATCAAATCACACCTAGTGATGTGCAATCACCCAAGGCCATGCAAAACTGTGACTGACACCCCCCTCCTGGGCCAATCACAGGGAACCAAGGGCCAGGGAACCATTGGGCTGGGGAGCAAACACCAAGCCAAGTACACACACTACTAAGGACTTGGAGCCCACACATCTGTATCTTTAATCACTGCACTGGAACTAATCATTACTGGACTCCCCTGCATGGGGAAGATCATGATGGGAACCCCATACCCCTTCCTCCACCCTCTTTCATTTATTTTTCCTTGGACCTTTCATGTAGGTGTAATGTAGAATAAAATGATTTGGGTATTACATCTTGTGTGTTACCTATAGTTATTGTATAAATAGATCTAAACTTTGCTGTGTGGATATTGTGCTCTGCGCAATGCATTTATTCTCATTATCCTAATCTATGGTTCCCATAAAATGTAATAAACAGTGTGTGTGTGTGTATATATATATATATATATATATTGACCAGCACTGCCTTACAGTGTTGTGTGACCCAGGAGCAGAGTCTTGTTTACTACTCATAGGGCTCCTGTTTCAGCTGTCAGGAGATATGTGTATGGAGTGTAAGTACCTGTAAGGCTGCTACGTCTGCGATGCTCTGGCTGTCACACACGAGAAGTACGAAGACAAGGAAAGACACAGGCAGGCAACTCCAGGCCGGCCCTATACACTGCACTTTACTCCGCACCATCTTCTTCCACACTGCACAACAGGCATGAACTGGGAAGAGGTGGAGCGCATAAGGGAAGAGGGAGGAGGAAAGTGTCAAATATTACAGCGTCTCTCTCTCCTTCTTATCCTTCACCAGACGTATAAACTCTTCAAGACAGCGAAACTTTAAAACGATCCCCTTACGGACAGAACATGTTATCAACCTTTCTGCCAGCCCGAATCTTACTTCCGTATTACGTCCTGCCATTCCCAATATGGAAGCGAGGCCACGCCCCCACGTTGTCCGCTAGGCAATTGCCATGATGTCATTCCCTCTGCGACTGTGTTCGTTGACGTCCCTGGGATCCACACGCTCTGTCATTGGATGGTTATTGTTTGACGTCATTACTTTGAGCCAATCTCAGACGAAAGAGCGGTTCTGCGTACGTCTTAGATACATGTCTGCTTTGAAAAACCCATGTAGTTGGAGGTTAACGCTGTAAACTTTGGCCTATGATTACGGATTAATTGAGTTATTCTGATCTTTGTAAGTAGAATAGGGCGGTTTATGTTGTCAGTTCAGAAACTGACACAGCCCGTGTCTTTTAGGAAGACAGGCTCTACTAGCAGTCATGGCTGTCCTTCTGGAGACCACGTTAGGGGACATTGTCATTGATCTTTATACTGAAGAAAGACCCAGAGGTAAGATCATGTTGGGTGCCTTTGTGTTTGGGCTTTTGAAAGTAGTTTTGTTGTTTTGCTTGAAATAATGCAGTGTATAAATACTTTATATGTGAGAATGTAGACCAGAAAAACACAGTCATTTAATTTGTAGTACTCCTACTCTGTAAACCTTATGTCCTAGATCACATGTGTCAAACTCAAGGCCCAGGGGCCGATTCTTCGCACCCCACGCCCACCGAACGCGCACGCCTCAGCGGTCCAGCTCCCGACGCTCCTCACATCTAGCCGGGCCGGTCACATGACGGGTGCCGGGGATGTGAGCGTGACGGGTGTCAGCCGGGGGACGGAGACTATGGCTGGGGACGAGCCGGCATCTATGGAGGGAATGCTCAGACAGTAAGTGGCCGGCGCGGGGGGGGTGTGTAAAACGCAAACGAGCACATATAGACGATCGGCGGGCTATGGAGCGGGTCTTTTCTGCCCGTGCGTGCCCGCAGAAAAAAAATGCCGTCCGGAGACGGCAACCCGCCAATGCTGAAGTGCCGTCCGTCCGTTTTTTTACAACGGGCGGACGGGAAGAGGTTAAATTGAGTTTGACACCCCTGTCCTAGAGCTTCAAATAATACGTGTTTTTGCTATTGCATTATGCCAAATGTTCTATTGACAGTTATTGATAGCATTCATTGCATATCCGAAGATAGTGTATGCTATTTAAGAATGTGCATTTAAATAATGCTTTTTTGTTCCATAACATTCAGATATTTTGTTTTCCAATGATGATAAAATGAATAACTTTTCTCTTCCGTTCATTGAAGGACACAATTGGGACTAGGAGATCTGCAACCACTGGGTTATATCGCCACCCGCAGGAGTAGGGTTCTAGTCAAAAAAATAAAGCAAAGAACAGCCTAGGGGTGTTCCAGATCTCCGATCTTAGTCCCCACTGTGTCCTTCAATTAATGCAGAGAAAAGGATTTTGAGTACAAATATCCTATTTTTATTATCATTTATGTATGCCATTTCAAAAATAGAATGTTTTGGTTTTGTTTGCAATATGTAAAACAAACTAAAAAGCTGTTTGTTGCAAACAAGCTTTATTGGTAAGATGAGGAAGACAAATTGTTGCAAACTATAGAAAACACAACACCCCCCTCCCCCGGGAGCTGTATAATATTGTTTTCTTAGTAGGTAATATGTTTTATCTTTTTCAGCTTGCCTAAATTTCCTGAAGTTGTGCAAAATAAAATATTATAACTACTGTCTGATACACAATGTGCAGGTGAGTATTGCTTTTTTTTTTTTTTTCCTACGGTGCAGTCAATCAAATTATTTTCACGTTAAAGTGCATCCGTCTGACAATTTCTTTTTCATTTCTCAGAGACCAATGGCTAGATATGTGTGTTTGAGCTATGTGCAATGTCTGTCCCTTTGCCTTGGCCTTTACAAGTAGGCTTTGCTTTCTCTGTTGGTTGTTTTAATCTATTTTATAGTAGTACTTTTAAGGAGAAGAGGGAACACTGAGAGGTTTATGGAAAACCCCAAAACACTAATGAGGGTCAGGGACAGAGGCAGGAACTCTGACAGGAAAATAACACCATTAGAGTCCTCAATAAGTGAGGAGGGGTAGGTCTCCTTGTGCCATGCTCCACATATAACTAAAAACGACTCTTGGGTGGAACCTTTTTAAACTGATACTTTTCTAAAATGTTAGTGTAAATAATTTTAAAATGTGTACATCAAATTGTTTTTGTATGTCCTTCATAAGTCCCACAGGGTTACCGTGCCAGGTTTCAATTATACTGTGTTGGTCAGAATAGCCTTGTTCACTTTGTGTCACTTGGCAAACTACTTTTTTCCTAAAATATATATATATATATATATATATTTAGTACTCGCATTGATGTGGGCTTGTGCTGAGGCCCCTGTGGGCACGTGACAGCCGAGAGCCTACCCTTTATGTAATTTGCATTTTTCAAAAATATTGTTGTGTGGAGATTGCATAGTTACCTATATGCAGAAAGGTTGTTTGAGCTGCAGCTTCTCAGCGGTATCAGCTTAAAGCTTATGTGAAGTATACAAGTAAAAAGCAGGCTAGCAAATTACATCCACTCCAATTTATACTGTGTCATGCTTTCACGTAAAGACCTTTTCCAGCCACAATATTTTATTTTTAAATAATGTGAGGGTAGAAGGGTTAAAAATGGATATTTATTGCTGTCTCTCTTGGGGAGATTTCCTTATAGTTTTTGTCCCTGTGACACCAGGACAAGAACTCAGGGGAGTAGGTCACCAGGACTGCAATAACAACCGCACATACAGTACGTTTTTAACCTTCCCTCATGCAATTAAAAAAAAGTGTTTACCATTTCAAAGGTGTCACAAAAACTCCTTGTCCCTCATTAAATATTACTGGGGGACAGAAAGTGCGGCTATATCTCCATAATGGGAACAAGGACAGTAATAACCCTTTATTTACCTTTTCACACAAGACAAAGCTTCAGTCACAGTTGTAATGCCCAATACATTTTGCATCCTTCTTTCTTTTTATGTAGAATTAATTGAGGGAAATTCTGGTAAGGGTATATTGCCTGTGGAGTTCTGGAGACCTTTAAAAACATAGTACGTGGTTCAACTTTACAGCAACCATGCAGTGTAGAAAACTCAGTTTTTGAATTGAACGTGCTAATCGCCATTAGTTATATGTGGCCTAATTTATTTCCTTTTTTATTTATAGAGAGACTTTATTATACAGACTGGTGATCCTCTGGGGACAGGCCGAGGAGGCGAATCTATTTTTAGGTATGTTTGTTCAGCTTTCTTGCATGTATTTTCTAAATGTTCATTAGCTTTATCTAAAATGCGTATTCAGGGCTACACAATTTGCTGTTGTGGAGGTCATTGTGATGAAAAATGCTACTTGCAGACTGTAAAATGTTCTCCTCACTCCTCAAGTCAACTTTACTGTCTTAGCTACGTATAGTTTTTTTCCTTTCCATTCAGCAACACTGGTTAGACTCCTTCCTTTATGCTGCTAGACTTGGGGGCTGCTGTGTTGTGAGTCACTGCTCAGTGTGTTGGCTGATAAGGTGGGTGGTGGAACCTATTTCTATGCTCTTGATATGACTGGGGTACTGTTAAGTGCTAATTGCTGTTGCAGTGTGTAACTGGTGATGGTGAGGAAGATGTTCTGTAAGGATGTGGAGCATTGCTGTTACGGTAGCAATGAAAAATACTTTGTTCAGTTCTGTAGAATGGAGTTTTCCACATCCTGAAGGTGACAAAGGCTGGTACTGTATAATGGAGAGGCATAGCCATTGACTGTTGCTTCTATGGTCTACTACACTTCGCAAGCAGTGATGGCACAGCTCAATAAAATAAACCCAATAATCTTGTAGGAGATGTTTTCCTGGAGATAGCTGTAAACCTGCCCAGATAGGATTTAAGGCCACTGACTGTTACTATTTACTGGGGGAAGAATTTCCCATTTTCTTGCCAAAACTGAAAGTTATAATCAGTTAATCATTCATCAGTACAAATCAGATGCACTATTAACCCATTCATAAATAATATATATGTTCTACCTCCCATAATATTTCCCTTCAGCCCAAACTGTTTAAACTAAAGTGTATGTCCAGCCAAAACAAAAAGCTTTGGATAGAGTGGGGATAGATTAAAACCAATGTTGGTAACCTCGATCGAGTAAGCTTTAATGAGACACATGAAGCTTGTGACAACACCATTAAAGTGCTTAACTTGATCCACGCAGCAAGAGCTTCAACCACCCTTGCCTCCTATAAGTGACCGATGCTAAGAAGGCCTTTGATCTTGTAAATTGCCAAAGCTTATTTACAAAACTAAAATGTATAGATCTCGGAGAGAATGTGTTAAAGGGTCAACGCCATCTGCTCCATCCCCCTCGGCCTCTGTCAAAGTTAATGGAGTCTTTTCTGAACTCTTTACAGTATTCCTTTTGTCTTTGATTCTGAGCTCTTTTGCTGTAAAATTAGGGGGAAAAAACAGATATCCAAGAACTCCAGGTTATGGGAAGACAATATAAGGTCTCATCTTATGGAGATGACTTATTGTTCTCTCTAACTAATCTGATCGCCTCATTCCCTAACTTCCTTAAAGAGTTCAAGACCTATAGAGAACTCTCCTATCTGAAAATAACATTTACAGTCATGGGGTCAGTAATGTCTTCCCACTGGATACATCAATTGAAAGATGCATTTAAATGTTCCCATCTGCATTGAAGTACTTGGGGACCTTTATCCCATCTGATCTGAAACACACCTTTGCCCTAAACTTCCTGCCTCTCCTGCAAAAAGTGAGATTCTTGCTTTTGTAATGGAACTTGGGGTTGTTCTTGTGGTTCGGCCACTGCAAAATCATCGGCAGGGCTTGAAAAAACCGCTCGTCCTCTCATCTGTGACGATAGGATGGCGGAGCCTGACGAGTAGCTTCCCGACCGGCCGTTGTAATTACACGACCGGCCAGGAGCTTTACGTCTGAGTGAGAGCAATAATTTTAGGGCCACCAATCACTGCTAACACTAGACTGATAAACAGTAAAAGCGTTTAAAGCGTCACCTATGGCCAATGTTCAGTGTTGTAATTTTTGCAGGCGCACACAATTTTAAGGGTTGACATGTTTGGTGTCTATTTACCCAACTTGACCCCGTCTTTTATATTTTATCAAAAATATGAGTAATAATAAATGTTTTATTACATAACGTAGGGAAAACTTTTTTTTTTTCTCTGAAATTTATGGTCCTTTTTTCATTATATAGTAAAACATAAAAACCCTCCAGTGGTGATTTAAATAACACCAAAAGAAAGCTCTATCTGTCCCTAAAAATGTTTACATAAATTGCAAGGCTATAGTCCAGTCATGCGGACTGGTGACATTTTTTGACTGACTGCTGAGACGCCCTAAAATTTTTCAAGCCCTGATCATCAGAATGGAAAATCTACTCTACTTCTGTCGCTATCTCTCTATCTCTCTATCTCTCTATCTCTCTATCTCTCTATCTCTCTATCTCTCTATCTCTCTATCTCTCTATCTCTCTATCTCTCTATCTCTCTATCTCTCTATCTCCCTATCTCCCTTCTACCTGAAACAAGTTACACACATCAAAAACCTGTTGGCACCCTTCCACAAAGAAAGAAGAACCCAGAATTTTCTCTGAAAAAACTTGAAACTGAGCAAAGTAATTGGCATCCATCATCATGTATTCCATATTTATTAAATAACAGACTTTGATTTTTAATTCAGCAGAACATTTTAAAGCATGGTGGCTTGTCAATGTGCATATTATCAAATTCCAATCTGGCTATTTTATGTTTTTCCTTCAACAGTGGCGTCCTTCTGGGCCTCCTTATTAAACCACTGTAGCTCAAAAAGTGACAGATGGTACGATCAAACACTGATGTACCTTGACTTCGGATTTCAGCTTGTATCACTTTGGACGTTTTCCTTTGCTTTTTGTTTACCATTCACACTATTTTTCTGTTGAATGTTGGATCATTTTTTTTCCTCTTGCAGCCAGGTCGAGAGGTTGGCTACACTCCCATGAACCTTACATTTCTTAATAACATTTGCAACTGTAGTCACGAACATCAAGTTGCTTCAGACAACTCTCTCCTATGCTTTCTCTGGTATAGAGCTGCAGCTAACGATTATTTTCAAAATCGATTGGTTAGCCGATTATTAAGTTTGATCGGATAAAAAATAAAATACATTTTAAAAAATGGCTCCAGTGATGAGACTACTAGTTTGTATTGAGATTGTAGTCCATCACAGGAGCAAGCTTGGAGCGGTGAAAGTAAAAAAGAAAAAAAAAAGTGTGGTGTGCAATGAAAAGTGTAAAATTATACAGCAATGAATGCAGAATGGGACCGGCTATAGAGGACTACAAAACACAGCAATAGTTCATTACACAGCACAATGCAGAATACCACCAGCTATAGAGGAATACAACAAATCCCAGCAATAGTACATTATAGCTGGTGGTATTCTGTATTGTGCTGTATAATGTATTATTGCTGGGATTTGTTGTACTCCTCTATAGCTGGTGGTATTCCGCATTGCGCTATATAATATATTATTGCTGGGATTTGTAGTCCTCTATACAGCACAATGCAGAATACCACCAGCCATAGAGGAGTACAACAAACCCCAGCAATACATTATACATACAGTGTATAATGTATTGCTGGGATTTGTATTCCTATGTATAATATACAGCACAATGTACCATCAGCTATAAAGGAATACAAATCCCAGCAATACATTAAAGAGCGCCATGTGTGGGAAAGTGCAGCATGAGCAGTCTTCCAGCAACTTGCTTCTGAGATTAGGCCTGTCTTATCGGCGGCTGTCATCCGCCCACACCTGCTCCTCCTTACTTCTTCTCCCCTTGTCCCTGTGCCGATCGTGAATGCGGGCGGTGAGCGTGAGGCGGGGAGGAGGTGCGGCGTAGATGCGGGCGGGTCTGGCAGCGGCGAGCGTGAGGTGGGGAGGAGGTGCGGCGCGCAGTGTGTGTGGAGCCGTGAACAGTGCCGACCAATCGGAAGCCGATTAATCGATAATTGAAAAAGTTGACAACTTTTTCAATAATCGATTATGTCGATTAGTTGTTGCAGCCCTACTCTGGGACATGTTTATTGTGCTGCACTTGATAATACCAAACACCAGAGTGCTACTTTTCTCTATTTAATTAGGTGGCATCCTCACCCATCCCTTCTTACTACATAATATTTCTACCCAATGACCCCTTGTATACCCTTTCTCTATATCCCTCTCATCTTTAAGTCTGAAGATGTACACATTCCATCTCCTGTATTCTGTATATCACCTGCCACTGCTCTTTATAAATGAAGGATTACAAAATACCCATGTTGGGGTTTAACTGCTATATTGACTATGTTAGACTCAGAGCAAGGTGAGACTAGATCCCCTACAGTTTGACTTGCATAGGAATATGTTTTTTGTTTTTTTTTGGAAGCAAATTTTCTTTGCTTAATCCTTTGAAGTAGCACCTGAAAAGCGTCCAGGCCCAGTCTTTAATTGTTTTGGTATGGGAGTTAGGGATGTGGTACAATTGAGATGTGAAGGCTGGTCCATCCATATTGATTTTTATGGTCATAAACTTTATCTGATATTTGTGTATTTCTAACATTTTATGTATTTTTTTGTAAAAAAAAAAAAACTTTAATTCTGAGCAAAAATGTTTTATATTTCATTAAAAGCTTATAATCCAACTATCCAACTTAGTTGCCCTTTGTTTCACTTTTCAGTAAACTGTATGGTGACCAAGCTCAGTATTTTGAATCTGAAAGGGTGCCACGGATAAAACACAAAAAAGTGGGAACAGTGTCAATGGTGAACAATGGCAATGATCAGCATGGATCTCAGGTAAGTGACAGACATTTATTTTTATTTTACTTTATCACTTTTTATTTTTTATATATTTTTTACTTTTTTATATCTTTTTTTTTTTATTCCTATTTTGGAGGTGACAGGTTCTCTTCATGGAACCTGACCTCCAACACAGAACAGATGTTCTGTGCAGTTCCTGACAGCTGAGACAGGTGGCGCTGTGATTACAGCGCTTTGGTCTCAGTGATCACACAGAGCAGACAAAGAACGGACGCTCTCCTTCTGCTCTACGGGCTCTATGGTGAGCTCATGTGCTGTGGTCCCTGTGGAATTGCCCTATTTATGCGAGGTATTGGAGAGGTTTGATTTTGGATCAAACTTTATTAGATGGGTCCAATTGATGCGGGTTGATGATGAAATAAAGTTATTTTTCCATCTAGATAGAGGGACTAGACAGGGCTGTCAACTTTCCCCGCTCTAGTTGGCATTAGCAGTGGAACCGCTAGCTACAGCTATCGGGCAGGCTCCTGATATTATGGGTTTTTGGAGAGGTGATGAGGAGGATAAAATTGCTCTTTATGCGGACGATGCTTTTCTTTTCTTGGGGGACACAGACAAATCTTTATCAGCGTTAATGCTGTTAGTACAGAGGTTTGGCTCTTTCTCAGGTTTTATTATCAACTGGGATAAGTCAGTGTTATTACCTTTTTAGATCCAATCTGTCGGCCTCTTCCGAGTTGTGTGTAGATGCATTTAAGTATGTTGGAGTTATGGGGTCAGCTGATATAGCGGACTATCTTACTCTTAATCTTAATCCTCTTTAACATAAATGTAAACATAAGTGTCAATTTGTGTAAACTACCGCTTACAGTTATAGGCAGAGCCAATTTGATCAAAATTATATTGGGGCCGCAGTTGCTTTATGTATTACATAGTTCCCCTATTTGATTTACACAAAATTGGTTTAAAAAGATAGATACCCTATTTAGAGATTTAATATGGCAGAGGAAGACGGCTAGAATACGGCTCTCTATTTTACAGCGGCTCAAAGAAATGTGAGGGCTGGCTATTCCATACCCCAAATTATATTTCCTTGCTTCCCAGCTGCAACATATAGTTGGTTGGGGCCAGAAAAATGTTTATGGTCTGGTTATCCACCCTGTATCTCACTTGGAAGCTGGACTGGGCCCTAGAGTTACAAAATATTCTACTGTATATCTTATAGACAAAGTATGGCAAACAATGAAAATACTATGTGATATCATTTATTCACGCCAATATGGAATAAGGTTATTTACTAAGAGTTACACAAATTTGGTTGGATTTGGAGCATGGTACACTAACAGACCTCACTATTTTTGTTTCACTATGGGGTTAAGGCTTTTCCCCATAGTTCTCAGGGTAAAAGGAGGATGCAAACTAGCGTTGTCTGGATCCGCCCAGCTGCGTGAGTGACAGCTGGCTCTCCCTATCTAGAGGCAGAGCTAGCTGTACCCTCCCCCGTCCGTTCCGCCAGTCGGTACTGGCGGATCGGAGCGGGCAAACCAGCCCCTCCCCTGTCACGGCAGAGAGCCGTGACAGGATAGAGAGGTGAGCGAACGCCAAATCGGTGAAAAGCACTCACCTCATAGTTCTCCTTTAAATCCTTTTGCATGTTGCAAGAGGAATTTCACTTTCCTAACGCATATTTTTTGTAAATTATTTACAATTAAGACATGTTATTCAGGCACAGTGTGGAATTGCACCTCATATTTTTGTTGAAGCATCCCTTGTCACTATCGTGGCACACTCTGTGGAGAAACAAGGTTTAATTTCGAAGATATATGATGCACTTATGGAGGGAGGGATACCTGGGCAGCATGAATCTCCTTTCTGGAGTAATTCTACAAATTCATTTTTCATGTATACACACACACTATTACGTATACCGATGCCTCTCACTGTCCTTCCTAGTTACCTTTTCTAGAGATCTTCTTTAAGAATTAGTTTTTGTGTACACCTGGCCATGTTTACTTGCCTGCTGTCTTTTTAATTGCAACATTGTATGCAACCTGATTCATTACAGATTTTTAAATAGATTATTGTGTATGCACATTTCTACTCATGCACATTGCTAATAATTTTCACTCATGTTTTATTTCATACTGCTACTCTATAAACTGCTGACATCTTTTAAGATTATGCTTTGATTTTTCTTTTTAGTTTCTGTTCACAATGGGGGAGAATCTGGATTATCTGGATGGGGTGCACACAGTATTTGGAGAAGTAACTGAAGGAATGGATGTACTGAAGAAAATTAATGAGACTTTTGTGGATAAAGATTTTGTTCCCTATCAAGACATCAGGTATGCTGAATAGGTTATATTCTGTGGGACCAGTTTTCTGTTTGTTTATTGTTAATTATTTATGGGATTTTGCATCTGATACCGAGAGTGAACTTGATCCTTTATGTGTAGGAATATTAAACGTTTTTCTATTAACCATTATCAGAATTGTGCTTCACGGTTGTTTCAGTTCTCATGCATGTGCCTCTGGCACTTTATGAAAAGATTTACAAAAGAATCTAACTGCAAAGCTTTAACACCAACTTTGATACATTGGTCAACTTTCCATGCGAGGGAATGAGAAATCAGTGCTAGCTAAGGCAGCAACCTAAAACCAACTAAATAATGGGAATAAAAGGTCAGGGCAGACTTGCAGCAAGGGTTGTCAAAAAACAGGCACAGGTCTTAAACGGGTATCAGAACTGGAACAAAGATCACGCATACTGGAGACTGGGGACAGATACTCAAAGAGGTCTTGGATTTACCAAGTGCACTAAGCAGGTTTAAATAGCTTTCCCGGACATTACCTCACTTTTTGGTAAGGACGAGCAGGGAGCAGCAGTTCAGGAGTGTCTAGACTTGTAGACTGGAAAAGCCCTTTAACACATTTCTGGGGAAGTCTGAAGTGGTTGCACAGATTGATTGGAATCAAGCATGGGAGACATATGTGAAACAGCAGAACGATCCTTCAGAGCTCTAACGTGAACAGTGACTCAAGTTGGTTTTATGAGACCGCGAACTGTGAAAGAACAGCATTGGATTTCTGGCAAAATCAGCAGTTCTTTTTTAATTCTATTTTTTTTAAATGTTTACCATTTTTTTATTAACTGGCAATGTTCTTATGTATGGAATGATGGATACATATGCTGCCTGGGGAAAATCACCCCATCAGAAAGATTCAGCTGTTTACCTGTATTGAATGCTGTTAACTTGATCAGCATTAATTAACATCTGACCAGAGATTCAGGGAGAAGGGGAAATATCTGAGAGAGCCAGTCATGTGGCAAGCTGCTACTGCTATGCTGTCTTTTAGGTAACACATAGTGCTCTGTAAATGCATGCAATAAATATTTATTTTAAAACAGACAGGGTACATGAAGTAAATGCTGATATAAAAAAAATCAGTTTAAACACTCCTAAACCTGAAAAAAAAATCAACCAAATCTATTTGCTTTACTTTTAAAGTGTTGCAGTGACTTACTTTGTGTTGCGGATTGATATTTACCCTTTATGTGTTTTAAAAGTTGTTGTGTTTTTTTTGTTTAATAAAAAATGAAATGTTTTGTTGTTGTAGGATAAACCATACTGTGATTCTAGATGATCCATTTGATGACCCACAGGAACTGGTTATTCCAGATCGATCCCCTGAACCCTCCAAAGAGCAATTAGATGCAAGTATTTAAGCTATAACGAAACATAAATGGTCTATTTTAACAGATATACTTTATAATTTCACAGACTCGTATCTCATGTCCAGTATAGACATGGTACTGAGTTTGATTGTCTCTCCTTCATGTGCTAGAAAAAGGCAAAATTAAGGTGGGGCATTTGAAAGACATTCCAGTCGCAACTTGAAGACCGCATAATTTACCCTGTAAGGGCAGCTGGCCTGCTTATTCTGGCTGAAAAAATCAGTCAGGTTCTTTTGCTGTGAAATTATGATGGCATGTGTCATTTTCCTTAGCTGTTTTAGCTGAAATCACAAGGTGTACTGTAAAGGAGTAATTCTACTGCATGTACATTGTAATTGTTTTCATAGATTGTATGAAGGATAAGTAACTGTAAGTCTTTTCTTTTTATGATGGTTTGCTGAGTAGGCAGTGTTGTTTGTGCAGAGCAGGCTGTTGCTAGACCTATAGTAAATGTACCTCTGACACACTCTGAGAATATTTTACTTTGGCATCGGAGTAGAGATGTAAAATTTCCTGAAAATTTCCGGCCATGAGGGGGAAAAAATGTTTTTTTACGGAAAAAAAATGAACTTTTTAGAAAAATTGAAAACAAAATTCACTGCGGAGTATTTTTACAAATTGAAAGTCATTTTGCTACACTAGGAACTTGAAATGCAGTGTGTAATAAAGTATTATGCTTGAAATAAAAGTACAGCTTATTCAGTAAATAAACTAAACTTGCTTTTTAAAATTACATTTCTTATCACAAATGGAATAACAAGGACTGTAAATGTTAGTAACATTTCAACTATACACGAGAACAGGTAACCACCCCCTTTCCCTCCAAAAGCAAAAAAACAAGCAAGAACATATTTGCAAATTGCAGCTTTGCTCTCAGCAGAAGTTGCACTGTGGAAATGTTTCCAAACTCTAGATGTTGGTCTCATCATTTTACTGAGAGGAGGAACAAAAACAATTTACTGACCAGACTATGGGTAAACATTATACCGTGATGGTGTAGAATATTATTTGGAATCATTTTAAAGGTCATACAGAAACTCTTTTGTCAGACAAATGTACCCCCTTACCTGTCAATTAAAGCCTGAGAAGACAGAAACTATCATCTACTATCATACCAACAATCGCCCAACTGTAGGAAGTACAAGATACAGCCCACAAGCTAACTAAACTGTAGCCTTTCCTCTGCAGTGCCCCTAGTGGCAGAAATGCATATTTCTTTGAGTTTGAGAACTGCGTTGAGAAGTACAGTGTTACTTGAATTGTATTCCAGGATTTGCTTGTCTTCAGCTGAGGGAATGTGCAATAAGTTAAGACTTAACATAAACTCTGAGAAATCTTTCATTAGGGTCTTCATGTTATATAGTTTGAATACCATGTCAACGATATATTATTTATCATTGTAAAAGAACATATTCCACACTCCATTTTCTTTCAATTTTTCCAGAAAAAAAAACCAAAACGGCTTGGCTGGAAAAAAAAACAGGGAAAAATGTTTTTTTCCCAATTTTTTCCGTTTTTTTCCCCCCCCAGCCCTTCCCATCTCTACATAGGAGGCACAGCATGCAGCTCCTGTTGCCTTAATAAATCACAACTGTGACCACATGAAACATCTGTAAGTATGATTGCTTTCCTTGCAGCTCTGTACTTTTATACATGGACTTGTAAAGAGCAATCTTAACTATGAGTGCCAAACTTTGACATCTGAATTTGGGGCTCATTGTTTGCTTTGTGATAAGCACTGGGATTTTCAGGCTCTAGGAATGGGAGTTGTGAAAATAAAATATTGGTTCCTGCCTCCAGCGTTGGCAGAGCAGATATTGAGTAAGGTGCTTCTTATATTGCACATGTGCCTCATAGAGTTCAGTGCTCTCATCAGTATCACTCTTCTTTTTCCTATACCTTGCCCTAATGACTTCAATAAAGACAGACTTAAAATACTAGGTTATCTGTTATGTTCTGTATGTGTATTTTTTAGCCCTCGTTCACACCTGACCGTTTTGTAGCGCGTTCTACGCTCGACGAACGCTCTACAAAACGCTCAAAAATATAAATTGCATTGTAGTCAATGGTCTCGTTCCCACCTTGCCGTATTTCCGCCCGTCACTAACGCCCTACAAAACGGCCCACGCCTGAAAAGGTCCAGGTACTACTTTGGGCCGTTTTGTAGGGCGTTTTCCATTGGGATACAGCCAAGTAGCCTTCGGAATCGCGCGACGGTCGTGCAACTTTTTTTTACAGCGAATCGTGGTAAAAAAAACGTGCGATGGTCGCGCATATGCAATATGCCTAGGTGTGAACGAGGGCTTACTGGTTCACCATTTTCATAGAACATTTATAATTTTGTGCGGAAGGGCGTTTCTGCCCTGATTAGGAGTTTGGAAAAAGATGTCCCTTAGATATGTTCTTCCAGGTGATTGTTGTCCTCTTTATGATAGAGTGGCAGGATTGGTGCAGATGAAGAAATTGATGACAGCAAAGGAAAGTCGGTAGAAGAAATTGAAGAACAGCTGGCTGAGAAAGAAGCCAAGACCAGATCTGTCCTGTTGGAAATGGTAAAGATGACCTACCCTACAAATGCATATTCAAAACTCTTCAACACACACACACACACACACACACACACACACACACCATTATAACCACGTTAAGCTGCCATTTCTCAATGGCACCCTGGTAAAGGGGCCTATGCTGAACATTATTATATTGATCTCCATGGAGAAGTTAATAGAAGAGGAGTACCTCCAAAGCCTAAACACTGATCAACAGGTACACTAGTAATAGCTGCTGTTGTTTTGTCTTATGCAAAAAGAAATAAAAGTTACTATTAAAAAAAAAAAAAATTGTATCTCGTAGGAAAATCAGTATATCCAGCTCTATCTACAGTACTATCCATCATAGCAAAACAAGTGTCCTAGGGGGGTCCAAGCTCAGATTGGAATACAAGCTTGAAAGACTTTTTTTTACTTCATTAGAGTGAACAAACAATAACTGCCATATTTATTCAGGCATGTAGCTATAAGTGATCAATATGAACCGGTTTTTATTTATTGTAAAATACAAACTGGATGCTTTAGTAGTTGCTTCAGTTATAACCACTAAAAGGATAACCATTTAACACCGAAACATTTTGCTAGTATGTAAACAGCAATTATTGCCTGAGCTCTATTTTCACACCTTCATATAGCTTTATGGTTCCAAATGTTTATTTCCAGCTTGCTAAGGTTTGTTGACCGAAAATTCACAATGAAAATGCCCAAAGTAATCTAGTTGATTCACTTTCTGCATACCTATTTAGACTATCGGACCATATAAATGCTTCTCTAAGATATACTGCTTTTGTGGTTTTATACAGCTTTGTACTCTTCCTGTAATTGTATGAGACTACTGCTTATTTCAAAGGTCGGTGACATACCAGATGCAGAGATCAAGCCTCCTGAAAATGTACTCTTTGTGTGTAAACTAAATCCTGTGACAACAGACGAAGATTTGGAGATAATTTTTTCACGATTTGGAGCTATAAAAAGGTATGTTTTTGCCCAAATGCATGCTTCAACCCTTACACTGCCATGGGTTGAAGGCCTCTTCTTTTTTTTTTTTGTTGCATAATATTAGTGTGGCTTTTTATCATGCCAAAATTTCAGTAAAAAATTACACTGAGGTAAATTTAGTGCACAAAAACACAACATAATACCTATTTTTTTGCTAAAATATAAAAGATGAGATTATACCGAGTAAATACCCAACATGCCAAGTATAACGTTGTGTGCACCCATGAAACAGCGACAAAAGTGCGACAAATTGTCCATAGTTAACGCTTTTAAAGCCTGTAGAGGTCATCAGTTTAAAGTTGACCGTGGATATTGGCCCTAGAATTATTGCTGTCACTGGCGCACGTGTCGATACCTTACATGTAGAACATTTTTGTACATAGGGGCACCTGACGTGTGTTAAGTCACTATGCGAATGTTCGTAGGGGCGTGGGACTTTAAAAAATGTTTTTGGTATTTTTACTTTTATTTTACTCACAAGCCTCCTTTGTAATAGCATATTAGTGGTGATGGGTCCTTTTCTCTTTAATGGGGCATTAGGGGTCTATTAGACCCTTTGTGTCGCTTTTCCACTTCAAAGAAGCTATTCAAGCACAGATTGCGCTTGAATAGCTTCTTCCCCGGCTTCTGTAGACAGGGAATGACAGCTGAGGAACCCGGAAGTGATGCAATCAGCATCTCTTCTATCTCAGATCAGCATGGATGAGATCGGCTGCAGCGATATGTTTAGAGGGGTGACCTATTTTGTCCGTCTTGACATTAATTTTCCTTTTTTTTTTTTCTCTCTCTCTCTCTCTTTCTAGCTGTGAGATAATTAGAGACGGGAAGACTGGTGAATCGCTGTGTTATGCTTTTATTGAGTTTGAAAAGGTATCGATGATTAGAGTTTGTATCCTTATTCAGAAAGAGCAATACACATTACTCACATTTTATGTTTTAACGTCTTATGCAGGAAGAAGACTGTGAGAAAGCCTATTTTAAGATGGACAATGTGCTTATTGATGACCGGCGAATACATGTGGATTTCAGTCAGTCTGTGGCTAAAGTGAAATGGAAAGGAAAAGGTACCATCATTATTGTGTTCTGCGGATAGTAAATTATAACATGTAGCAATAGAATGATGTACGTTGGGATTACCGGGCGTAAAGAAATAATAATTTTACTTGCACATCCAAGCAAAGTTCAGATTTAGGTTTATTCATCTTTCACTTGAAAGTAAATACTAGATATTAGGGACACCAGAAGCCATATACTGTTGGGTATTCTGCTGCTTACAAAGGAATTGGATACTGCCAAACTAAATAAAAATTGTAGACCATCCCAAGATGGCTATCTGCATGACTTTTTCACTCTTGTCTTAGGATAGACGTCTTTTCTTTAGCCCCACAAAAGTCTGATCATGTTTTTACCAGCCCTTTTTGTTTTTCTCCTCAATTGTTACTTCAATTAATAATTCTCAGTATGTCGCTGCTTGAGCTAATCTCTACAATGGCAGCTATCCAGATCGGTATTTCCTCAGCCTAGCTTTGAAGTTCTGTACCCGGAGACTGCTGGATTGGATCTGCAGGGCTAGCTTAGAACTATCTTTCAGGCACTGTGTTCTGCAAGCTTTCCAGACCCTATTAATAGGTTAGCTGTGGAACTTCCAAAGCCATTTGCATTACCTCCTGTGCTTGCCCTGTCTCTGGAGACATTTTCTAAGAATCTAGGTAGGCTGATTGGGCTGAACACCATAAGCTACCTCCTTACTTGCACCACTGTGCACCTTTTTAATAGTTCACATTTTCCACCAATCTTACCACCGAAAGGGTCAGTGCTCGGGGACTGAGCACTGACTTCATCTGCTGGGTGGAGTGCTGCACATGCTAATTGCTATCTTCTCTGCCATGTGGAAGAATTTCCCCACCACTGCTCCTGCTTTGCAAAGAGCCACGGTGAGCTAAGCCCTTCCTTCTCCCTATCTACAGTGACATTGGTCACTTCAAGCCAACTGACCCTCACCGACTACCAGGTTTGTGGGTTTTGTGAATACCTGAGGCTTTGCCTCGTATCCTGGGCTTAGTTGCATCACTGTCATGTGGTGGCACCGTGCCTGTAATGTTTTACTGTGTTGTCTTATGGGTTGTGGGAAGTTGTTATGGTTTCCTTGGGTATAGGCACTGTGCATGTTGCCACAGAGAGCAGGAATGGGGTGTGGCATACAGCATGCTGGTAGATAAACTGTGACCTGTTAGACTTGGTGCGTGTGACTGGAAGCAGAGGGTAGAGGATGAACTCTGAGGTTCTGCCAAACTAAATGTAAGAACACTACTCTAAGAAATAACACTGCAGATTTGTGTCTGGGTATAGGGACTACAGTATATATAGAGTTAATGTATCTAGCCATTTATGAACGTACTGGCAATCTCTGTTTTCCTGCCTGCATGTAAAGAGCTCTTCTCCTCATAGAAGCTTAGGTAAAAAAGATTCTGGTCATTACCACTCTGTCTGAAGTTATTCCTTAAAATGAATAAAAAGAGGGGAAACACTACAATGCCTATATCTAGACAAAGAGGGGACAGTCCCAGTGTATCAAGAGGCAATTCTCCCCTAACATCTCCAAAGACTTTTACTTTGTGCCTTCTGAAGACACCTATGCCTGAAATCTTGTTTTCCTGTGGTTATAGGGGTCTACTTTATTGCAGCCCTCTTTAGGTCTGCTGGGTGAGGTCAAATCCCCTGCCTTATCACCTTTCTGGTGCTGACCGCAGGGGCTCTAAGCGCACTCCCTGGCCCTCCCCTGCAGACTTAGCTTCTGATCTTTTTGAGGAATTGCAAGAGACAGTCTAAATTGATGCAATATGTACTACTGGAGGATCAGCCTACTGTCTTCAGTCTTGGGTCTTTCAAAGCTCCTACAGCGGCAACATTGCACTCACTCTTTGGAGTATTGCTCAATAAGAATTGAAAACACCACAGTGTGCCCTTGACTCCCCCTGAACACTTGCTGGATGTGTTCCTCTTGGAAGGGAAATTGTTAAACAGTGGTCTGTACCCACTGCAGATCTGCCAGTGGCCCACCTTAGCAGGGAAACCACTAGACCAGTAGAGGGTGATCTAACCTTCAAGCATTCTATTAATCATCTGTGAAAATTCCTCTCTAAAACCCAGTTCTCGATGGTGTACTCTACCCTTCGCCCTATTTTCTGCTGAGAACTTAATATGTCAAACTGTGGTGGAATAGGTTGAGTCCCTTTTTAAAAGGTGCTCCCTTCACTGTGGCACTGGAACTTTACCTGATGGGGGGTGCAAAAGAGATTTCTGGAGCTCAGTGCTTCAGCTGTGATGGCCTTCTGAAAGCATCTAGGCTGGTGTCTCATGGGTCTGCTGTCCATACAAATGTGCAGGACACTATGGTTAAAGACTGGGGTGCAGACTCTGTATCCAAAAAGCATCTAACTTGTTTGGTCTTCGAGGGATGACTTCTCTTCAGTCCTATCCTTGACATTCCCATCAAGGATATCACTGGTTAGTTAAAGTCCCATCCCTCTTTTTTACCTACTCCAGCAGTAGGCCCAACAAGGCCTTCTAATCCTGGTTCTTCAGCCAAATGCACAACTGGAAGAAAAAACCTAGTAAACCTTCAGAAAAGTCTTTAGCATTAAGGTGTGCCTCTAGTATGTCTCTTCAGGTAAGCACAGCACGTTTGTCCTCATGCCCTTCTTCCTTGGTCAGGGAGTTACCCATCCTTTTAACTATTGCTGGAGAGTCGGGAATCAAGGGGCATCCCTCTTCGAGATGTCCCCTTTTTCTCCTATCCCTTCTTGGACTACCTGTGCATTCCCCTCTGCTGTTGTTGTGGGTTTAGCTCCTTAGCAGATGGGTTTAGCTCCTTAGCAGACTAGCTTGTATGACTCTGAGGATTAGATAGTCCCCGTCCTGATTAAGAAGCCTTCCAGTTTTGGAGCTCGTAAGTACTCCCAATTCAGCCACAAGCCTGTTCAGTGTAATAAACGGTGTGTGGGAATTAGCTCTGTGCTGAGAAGCAATCCCGACAATATTGTCAGGATCCTTCCCTCCCACTGAGTGACAGCAGCTTGTAGGAGATGCTGCACGTTCCTGAAAACCTGTGCAGACGCAGCAGATAGGGGGAAACCTGATAGTTGGGGGTACCCTCTCCCGAATTGATAAAGGGAACGCTGATTTTAGACCCAGTGGAGGCCTAAGTGGAAAGTGAGAGGCGATACTGTGTGCAGGAGAGGTGTGCACATTGGGGGAGGAGTTAAAGTTTATTCACTGTTGTGAATTTGGTTGTGACAGCACTGGGGCGCTGGTCTCACTCACCTGCAATAATTGGACTGTAAAAAGGACACTAGTGTATTCCTAACTGATGAGTCTTTTACACTTTGTGAAATCAACAATGCTTTAATGTTAACCACCTGGAATAGTAGGATTGCACAGAGGACAATATTCAATTTTGCAGATATTATGCACATGGAAGCATTGCAAATTTTTTTCATATATATGATGCATTGTTTAGTGAAATACGATTAAGTTTGATAATGATATGTGTATTTTGATCACTGGAATTTTTATGTACAGTATTAATATACAGTATTACGTACATGTTTTAATACATTAGTGCGACACAAGTTATTTACTTTGTAAAGAGCAGTGTAATAAATGTGCACAACACTTGGAAACAGTATTTCCCATGGAATAAGAAAAAGGTGAAATAACGGTTTCCATCAGTCTGATCAGGTCCGCCTTTAAAAACAGTTTTTCAGGCATACCCGATTGTATGCCCGCTGTTAAGGTGCCCATACACCTGCCGATTTATCGTACGATACGTACGGGCATCTACTGTACGGTCGCACAACTTTCGGCTTCCTAGCACGCTCGAAAATCGTACGATTTTCGGCAGGTTGCTAGCGTGCTCTGAAGACGAAAGCTGCACGGGCCGGTGTGCGCAAGCGCACACTGCCCGCTCAGCATTGCAATCATCGGAAGCCCGCCCCTCAGGGGGGCGTGTTTTCGATCGCAAGTACGATCTGCCTGTCCAAGATGAGCAGGTCGTACAAAATTTGAATGACCTTACAACCATCGCACAACGAAAGTCGGTTGGTTGTAAGGTGTATGGCCAGCTTTAGTCTATGGGCATTTGAGTGTGAACGGATGGGCATCCGTTTATACCTGGTTACCCCCGGCTCCGGACAGGTCCGGGGAAAAAAAACAGATCAGAGATCTGTTTCGCCCAATCTGATTGTGCCGGATCGAGGATAATCTGATGTAAATAGAAACGTGTCCGCTCACATCCTATTCCCCATAGACTGACATGGGGTCCGGCAGTTTCAGTTATTTAGGTGGAGGAAAAAACTGTACGGATATGGATGTGACAGCTGCTCTGTACTGCTGTGATCAAGAGGGGATCCATGCACCGATCCCCTCCTGATCAGCCCGTGTAAGAGGGGCCTAAGTTTGGAACCATGTGTAAATGAGTGATGCTACGCTAAGTAATATCCCCTACTGATAAATTGCTTCTGTAACAAATTTCCTTTTTTACCACCTTGCTGCCCAAAACTTTAAATAAAAAAAAGAAACCTGGGAAAACAAGCAAGGGCAGATTTCCGTCAGTCACAGTGTAGTAATATGGGGAACCTGGATCAATAGTTAGAAAATATTTTAGGAGACGTGTACATGGGCTTTTAAAAATTCAGTGTATTGCACTACATACGTCAAGATGAATGTCTGTGTGCACTGTGTTCACTAGCCAATAACCATGGTAGAAAATGAGAGAAAAATGATTGTTTGTTTTTTTATTTTATAGGAGGACAGTATACAAAAGATGACTTCAAAGAGTATGAGAAGGAAATGGGAAAACAGTCCAAGCTTGCCCTGAAAGACAAAGCCAGGCCTAAGCAAGACAAATATGATCTTGTAATAGAAGACAATGCAGTAAAAAAAGATTTTTTTTTTTTTTTTTTTTTTTTTTTTTTTTTATATTGTGCAATCATTAAATATGGAATTCCAGTCCAAGTCAGATGGCTATATATATTTGTTTAACATTTACAGGGATGATGTCATACAATAGAGGTTGTAGATGTTGTCCATAGCAGTTAATTGGATATCCTGTTTCACTGAGTACTTAAGTGGTGAATTAAATCTGCCTGTTTATTTGACTAGCATTATATAGGTTCCAGTGCTAAAATTGTGATTTTTAAAACGTTAAGGGCCTGTTCACATGAGTTTCAGGTGCGGATCTGCAGACGTGGTGCTATGTGTTTTTGCCGCGCTTTTGCTGGAGTGGGGCTGTCAGTATGTTAGCTGCAGTGCAGTGCGTTTTGCGTTTCCGGACCGTACAAAATGTGACATGCAGTATTTTTCTGTTGTAACCTGAACGGACTGCGCACGTGAGAACTGTAGCCCATAAAACACATAGGGATACATTGGGATGCATTTTTAATGCAGGAGCGTATGGATCAGGTCAGCACAGAAAACGGACGTCGTGTGAACAGGCCCTGAAGCACATCTGCAAGAATTTATTTAAATAAATGATACAAACATAACAATGTGACAACGTGAGCGACCCCGCGATGGCCTTCACTAAGGAATAAGATGCAAGTGGTCTTTGAAAGAATATCTCCAAAGCATAAATTTGACCCTTGATGGTACCAGGCGGTCTAGGCCAGCCATGGAAGAACAGCAAAGAGAAGGGAAACTACCATGGATTACAGTAAGGCACACATTACAGTATTGGTTTATGTAAAAAAAATCTGAGCGTTTAATGTCACTTTAATTCTTGTTTGCAGTCAGAGCCTCCTGTGTCTGCCTTGCCCAAGGTCACTTGTCTGGATTTTTAAAAAATTAAAAAAAGAAAGGGTGTCCTGTATTTTATCAAAAAACCTTAACAATCTTAGCAGCAAATATGATCTTGTAATAGAAGACAATGCAGAGGAGACAAGCAGAAGTCATCGACATTCTAAACATAAAAAAGAAAAGAAGCGCCATTACTCTGATGATGAAGATGAAAAGAGAACAAAAAAGTCAAAGGTACTGTAACCTGCATTGCTAAACATGTGAACATTCTAACTGAAGGGTAGGCAACCTTGTTGTGGAAGTGCAAGTCTGTATAATATTAATGTGCAAATTGACTAAGATAACATTTTACATTTCAGCTATGGGTCTATTGATTCGGTGAGAATTTTGCTATTAGCTAAGATATCAAAGGAATACAAACTTCTTTTTTAATATCTTGCAAAATGTATTTTATTTTCAATACAATCTATAGGCAAAAGATGTAGCAAAACAATTGCTGATTTTCTAGTTTGAGCAGTGTTCGTTTTAAAACAACTAGTATGCTGTAGATTTAAAAGCAAACATTTTATTCTTTTTAATTTTCTCCCGTTTATAATGACACAATAATGTTTTATTACAAAGCATGGCAAAGTTATTTTACAAATAAAATAAAGACATTTTGTCTTCAGTTTTGTGGATTTAAAAAAAATTAAAATGCTTTACTAAAACAATTTAAGGAACCGAATTGGAAAAAAAGAAATCGGCAGCATAGTAATAGCTATGGGGTGAAGGGGAGGAAGGCGCTAATTAGGACTGATTCCGCTTGAGGAGCCAGAACAGTTACAATGTAGCAATAAATAACATTGCTGTATTCAAAATTCTTATTGACACTCTAGACCAGTGGTCTCAAAGTACCGGCCCCAAAGTACCGAGCCAGTACTATGTGCCCCGCAGCCAGCTCACAAGTCTGGTACGTGGCCACGGACCGCGTACCAGACTTGAGCCAGCAGCTACAAGGTCTGCATCTCTTTCAGATGCAGACCGCATAGCTGCTTCTATGGCGGCTTGGATCCTTTCGGCCAGTGTCTTCGCTGGCCGAAAGGATTGATTATTAAGGTCTGCGGCAGACCTTTACCATCCACCACTAGATCACCAGGGATCGATGTGAGTGTGTGTGTGCTTTTTTTTTTTTATATGTACTGGGGTAGTTTTTTGTTTTTTTTATGTGTATGGGAGGGAGTAGAACTGTACTAGGCTCTATTCACAGCTGTATCTTTAGGTGCAATTAGGGATTCCTGCTCCAGCAGGAGTCCCTAATCTGGTGTTTAAAAGCGGCAGCTGACACCTATTCAAGTTAATGTTCAGGTGACAGCAGTTGCATGTAAACACCTGCATACCGCATGTAATGATACGTGATATGAGTTCTATCTATTCTCACCACCCGTCTTCCCGATTAGCAGGGAAGCCGTCCCCATGCTTGTCGTCACTATATGACGAGAAAGCATGAAGTCGGCTTTCTGACCAATCAGCAAGCCGGGCGCACGACATTACACGGTGCCCGGCTTCCTGATTGGCCAGCTTTTCTTCACTAGTGAAAAGTGGAGCATGGCGCAGGCTTCCCGGCCAATCAGGAAGCCGAGCAGCGTGTAATGACGTGCTGCCCGGCTTCCTGATACAGGAAGTATTGAGCTAGGCATCGGAGCATTTGGGCGAGTACGAGTACTCGCCCAAATACTCGGCATCGTTGCATCCCTATTATATTGGGGTCCGTAGTACCAAACCGGATATAGTTACATTTTAATGTATGAAATTTGGCACGCAAATTTGTCGAGTGGCCCCCTAGGGAATTGAGTTTGAGATCCCTGCTCTAGACTCTATCATGTGTGTGTCAACTTACACAGAAGAAGCAAGATCTGCTCCTATGGTACAGATCAAGTCAAGTCAAAATGCCACCCAGGATTTGTCATTGTACGGTAAGCAGGGGAGAGGTTTTATGGTTTTCAGAGATAGCTGAGGACAATGTAACTGATCACTGCCCCTTCTCTTATTAACTGACAAGATTTCTTACAGGTATTCTTTTGCACTTATGGAACTGATATAACACAACACCTTAATGGTGTATTTAACAGACCAAAAGGGAGCAAAAAAAGTTAATTGTCATGTGCTATAGTTCTTTCAGTACATTACTCTACTCTGTTCATTGAATTATAACATAGTTTGAGTTGGTTTTCTTTGAATCTTAAATAAGCTATTGAAGTGCAGATCGCACTTCAATAGCTTATAGCTGGGCTCCAGGAGCCCAGAACTGACAGCCTAGGGACCGGAAGTGATGCAATCTGCATCGCTCCCGGTACCATAGAACGGGGAGGAGAAGATGAACGGAAGTGGTACAGTGCCTTAATCACATGGGGTTGTGCGATTTAAAGGCACTGTACTAGTGTGAATGGGCCCTCAAAAACATTGGCAGACAGAATCTAACACTCTGACAGACATTCTCCCACACACATACACACTCCCTAAATATTTTTTTTGTCAGATCCACCCAGTCTCCCTATCTCACGAGAACTGCAGTGGATCCTCAATCTTGGGTCCTGTGTGGGCTGCTGTGCTGTGATTGAGCTCCATCCATATGTGCATTCCTTGTACAGTGCCATTGTGCACCCTGTAGTGGTGCCGGGAGCCAGAATGTGACATCAACCCAGTCCAGACAACGCTACAGGGCACGCGAGGGAGCTGTAAGCAATGCACGTATGGATGGAGCTTCCTCACAGTCATAGCCCCATCCCACCCCACCTCGAGCTGACACTCGGCACCAGGTAGCATATTTTGAAAGGCTGCTTGGCGTGAGAGCTGACAGTGCTGATCTAGGGGGAGGCTGAGGGGCCTCTCCCCTAAAGATGTGGAAGGCATGCGGTGACCCACTGAACACGGGGTCTTGACCCACTTTTGTGTCACGACCCACCAGTTGACAGCCAAGGGTTCAAAGTAATTAGTTACCACTACCCTATTGCAGGTTAAAATGTCTTAAGAAAAAGTCTCATTTCTGCATCATTTGCTATTCCATGTGTAGTTCTGGATAGTGATCAAAATGGTAATCTGGGAACTGTCGTCTCTATGGCCTGCAGTGATTGTAAGCATGTTTTCCTCTTGGGAGCATGTACAGATATGAGATCTGGGGCTGGAGGCACAAATGATCATCAAGTAGAGTGGCCAGGGTGTTGATTGAGAGAAGCACCATTGACGTTTGAGTTAAAACTGAGATTTACATGTACTGAAAAGTGCCTATATTTATCACATGCTCAGAGAAGGGGTGCATTTAGGATGCCTATGTCCAATGAGGTATTTTCAGGTGAGGGTTTGTGGGAAATGCACCATTCAGGTAATGTGACTGGAAATGGAAAGTTTGTTCATATGTTTTTATGCAATGATAATAAGGTCTTATTATTATTATGATTAATGTTCTTATTAAGAATTATTATTATATGGAAAGGGTCTCTGGAAAGGTTATTTTTGGTACTTAAAAGTACTTGTGTTTACCTTGAAATTGATCCCTATGGAGCCCTTGGGGTCCTGAACCAAGTTTCTACACCAGGCCTCCAGATGAAAGCCCTGGGGATTAAACCCCAGCCCTTCCACTGTTAGGCCCCACTCCTTGTCATTCAACTGATACTTACCAGAATCTTTATTGCCTTCTGAAGGTGTGGAAGTTAACAGTTGTATGGACAGGGCTTTGGCAGGAAGGGATGGAGTTTGACCTTAACTTTGGCTGAAGTCAAGGCTTTGTGTACAGCTGGCTGCTATAGTTCAAGGGGCTCTACAGGAACACATGAATCAATTTTGGGCCAGGTCATGTTAAAGGTTTTTTTTAAGACAAGAAACTGTTCCTTTGGGAAGATTTCAAGTGTCCCCAATAGAATATTTTTCTCTCCATTTGTGTTCTTGTGACAACTCAAAATTGAGAGTTTTTTCCCCCAGCTTTCAGTCCCGGTGATGGTGGTCACCCGGACAACCAGAGTAAATCTCTGCAATAGGGACACAGACAAAAATAAAAACCTGGTAGAAGTTCCAACCCATGCTCACTCTATCTGAAACAAAACAAAAGGATTTGCTTTCATATATATTAACTTGACGTTTGTTGGAGCCAGATGAAGAGGCATTTAATTTCCAAGCCCTGTTTCACAATCTAGTTGTTTAGTTATTATAATTATGATGAGTGCCATTAAAATATCCCTTTTAATAACTGAAGTCCATGCATGTTGATTGGACCACTGGGGCCTTTGTATTTATAACCTGCCTAGAGAAATTAACAATATGGACCACAATAAACGCTAATTTTAAATGTTTTTGTTTTTTTGCTTTGACAGGATTCTGATAGAAATGATCGCCACAGGAAACATGAAGAGGATTATTGCAAAGAGAAGAGGCGAAGTGAAAAAAAAGAAGGCAGGAGAAGCCGTAGTCTTTCCCGTGACCGTAGTAGTTACTATAGCTCCAGGGAAGATCCCAGAGAGAGAGACAAGGACAGGAGAAAAGACAGAAGTCCAAAGCAGTACAAAGAGTGGTCCAAGTATCCATAAAGATGCGGATAGACCAAAGCCAAAATGAGCATGCTTATCCATGTGTGTAGGGGAGGGAACAAAAAAAATAAAATAAAAAATGTAATATTTTCCTTATTATAGAGAGTTTTATGATATAAAATGCATCTGCATTATACCAATACACCCTTATATTTTTAAGATATAAAGTGTATCTAAAGCCCAGACTCTCACTGGAACAGGAGTAGAGAGGAAATCTTCCAAAGAGGACACCTGTTCCTGTGAAGAAAAGTGAAGGGAAATGTCCCAATGTGCAAAAACCACAAAAAAAGAAAACGCCATGGGCACAGGTTTAATCCATTCCATTGTCTATCAACATAGAATTTACAGTGGATTACACAGAACTCAAATTAGGAAAATTGGGTAAACTTTCTGACTAAAGGTGCCCATACACTCTACAACCCCTGCAAGACTTTTGTCTTGCGATGGTTGTAAAGCAATTAAAAAAAAAATGTGCGATCTGCCCATCTTGGACAGGTAGATCGTACTTGCGATCATCGCAAGCCCGCCACGCTTCTGATGACTGCAATGCTGAACGGGCAGTGTGCACGTGCACACACCGGCCCGTTCGGCAGTGATCTCTCGTTCATGTTAAAAACCAGCCGAAAATCGTATGATTCTCGGCTGGTTTTCCAACATGCTCGAAATACAAAAGTCGTGCGACCGCACATTAGAAACGGTCGCACGCCTTCCATACACTGCACGATCGCGGGATTTCCCGCGATTCTCGTACGAGAATCATGCAGTGTATGGGCACCTTAACACAGTTGCATTGTTTTTCTGGATTACTCACTGATTGGGAACACGCATTGCTTAGAATTGCTCTTTAAACAACCTTTGCATAATTCTTTTACCACTTTAGTTCATGTTCCTGTATACCCCTTATGGACCAGAGCAATATATACATTTCCTCTATGGGCCTGTTTATTTGGTGATAACTTTGTCATTACACAAGATAACAAAGTAGTACATATATCCTTTTTTTGGTAAAAACTAGGCTTTCTTTTGAAAATATTGTTTTGCAAGAAAAAACATTTTCTATTAAATCTATAGACAAAAAGATGTAAAGACATTTTAAAAGTTATTTTTGTTTTGACCAGTGTTCTTTAAAAAAAAAAAAGAAAGTTACTGTGAATAAAAAGTATACATTTTATTCGATAATGTGTCCTGTTTAAAATGACACTAAAATGATTTTCTGGTCAAAGCATGGCAAAGTTATGTACAAATAAAGCTTTTAAAAAAAATAAATGTGTATTTACTTATTATGCAACACTGAAAAAAGTATTAAAATAAATAAGTGACAAATAGCACCTCGCGCCAAACCCTGTGTAGCTGCAAGCACTACAAGAAGTGTTACCCTCTGAATATATCAAACTATAATGAATGTGCTGCGCTTCATCTAGAACAATACATAAATCTCTATAATAAATAAGTGCTAAACAATATATGCAATCAAAGTGTTCACAATTGCTCTTCTTGTGAATATCAATCCTAAATATTATCCCTCTGGAAAGTTCAATCATATTTTCCGTGTTCAGATGTGCACCAATGTGGAATCACACGTATATAGTGCTCAAGATTTGTCCCAAGTGCACCGCACTCTTTATCCTTCCAATAAAAGTTCTTTTTACCAAGTCCATACATCAACTCCAATTATCACCCAGGTGATCCCCCTCTAAGTGGGCCGCTCACCTTATAAGTAGACCTAAGCAGGTCTAAAATCGTCTTGTAGGATCTCCAACCGATCTTATTCAAAGGCAGTCTCTCCACAATCATTGCACAGAAAATGACGTCAGCATGTCATCAAATATAAAAACAGCCCATAGCGTAAAACTCTAAAATTAAAAAACCTCCTTTATTTAAAACAACTAGTTGCATGAAGAAAGTTGACAAACTTCAAGTAAAATGTGTGCCCAACAACTCTCTCTCCATGTCACCGTTATCTCTGGGTGCAAAGACGGATCAAACAGGAGCAGTGCTGCCGACCATGTAATCTCCAATCCACGTCTGCGAGACTCCGCCCTATGCGTTACATCACAATTGACTTCATCTTATTATTAAAATAAATGAAAACTAAAAAAATAGTGGTAAAAAAATAGATTTTTAAAAAGAAATTGCAGTAGAATAATAGTTAAGGGGAGGAGTGAGTTAATTAGTGCTGCTTTAGAGTTCACTATGGGTTATCAAGGGGTTTAGTAGGAATACATTTTAGTAAAATATAAATTTAATGTGTAAGGTTTCTTTAAATAATGTCAAATGCAGATCAAAGGTCACACCTTTGGTATACTTGTGAACGAAATGGTACATTCAATAAAACATTTTACACAGGACCGGCTTCAATTTAACAGCTGCGCTTCTCTGTAATACAAAGCAATTACCGGTTGCCATTTTGACAGCCAGTAATAGTAGCAGGAAGAGAGGAGCTGAGCGTAATAGATGTGTCCTAAAAACTTTGATATTTTGTAGGACTTATCTCATACATTTAAAATCCTCAACTGGTTAAAAAGAGATCAAATTATCAGTTCAGTAATGAGTCTGTGCATTAATTAGGTAACAGAATGATTGATCAAATATTGTTTGTTTAAACACGTTTTAAACTTACAAGAATGCCTTAATGTAAATCAACGTAGGATACAAAATATAATAAAAACATCAGTGGGCTAGCAAAAAATGTATTGGATGGTACAGACTGAAAACTAGTTACCTTTTCGTTTTATTTTATTCACTGCGTCTGTTGATGGGGATTTCTTTGTTCAATAAAAAAACATCAGGGGATATTTGCATGTGGGAAATGTGTCCAGTATATCTGTGGGGATCCCCTATTTTAGTGATGGCATGAGGAATTCCCCCTGTGGTTAACAGCTGATTCTGAAAGGAAAGAATACTATATTTATAAATCTCTGTGATGCTATGCATGCAAGGTGAGAGCTGTATAGGGAAGTAGAGTTTTGCTTCAAGAATGTTTACATTGCATGGCAACGGGATGTCTGCCTCAGTTATGAGCTTCCCTAGTCATTTATGACTAGCACCAAAATAATTACTAATTCATATAATGTAAGAAGGAGTACAATAGCCAACATAGGAGATTTCTCCATGAAAACCATAAGCCCCTTTTAGTGAGTCATCCAAAATATCATAACAAGAGCTATAGCAGATTAGCTTCTCTATTAACGTGGTATCAGATCACATAAGTGTGTCAACTGTCATAGCAGAAATGGTACCAACTTTGCAAGTTTCAGGTCTGCATTTTTAAGCCTGAAGTTACAGAAATGAAAGTTGCTGCAAACAGCTTTTTATATACCACAAGTCTATTCTTCACCAAAGTTTTTTTTTCCTCTTAGTTTTAAACAGGGTTGGAAACAGTTATATAAGATTTTTAATGCTGCTGCCCTGTGACAACAGGACAAAAAATGAGAACAAGCGTCAGGAAAACAGCAATAAAAACTAAACAATGGTTCATGTTCTAATTTTAAAAAAATGTTTTTGCTGGTGTCTCCGTCTCCATTGAAGAGCTTTCCCATCCCTTCTTGTATCTTTCATAACTTTTTACAAAATGTAAGGGGAAATTTTCCTAAAGGGCACACAGACCGCTATATAACCCTATGGTAGACGAGAAAAATGGTTGCACTATTCAAAATTCAAGGGGAAACTCCTTATAATGAAGATGCAGAAGGTAAATATTGATCATGAATCTTATTTTAAAAGAAAACACACTAACGCGTTTCAAAAATCTGTGTCACGGCTACAACAAAACCATCTAAAAACAACTTTGCAATTTCCTTTGGTGCACCCGCTTTTTCTATGCAACCTGCACAGCCAAGTTTGATACCTTAGCACTGAATACAGGGCACATTTCTCTCTCCCCTTCTGTTTACATTTGTGGATTAATTACATGTACAATTTTTTCATTCAGAGCTATGAAACTGTCCAAGGTTCCAACCCTATCCCACCTTATCACAGCTAAGACTGAAGACATGCTAAGCGATGGCTAACAGGAAAATAAATGCATACCCCATGACCTGCTTGGCTAAACACTGCCACATCCTAATAGAGAGAAAATTACTATATTGTAAACTGAGCTGGGGTCACCAGATTTAGGGGTGGCCATAAATATCTAAACATGATCTCACCATAAGAAGGGGGTCTTCATTGGTGGTGCACTAGTTCGGTGCCTGAAACCTGGCACAGGGAACATACATTTTACTGTAATACCCGTGGCTTCCCCAGCTATCGCTTATCCCTAAACGTAACACATAACCCATTAATTAAAATAAACTTAAAGGAAACCGGTTATCACAGAAATATTGGAGCTTATCTGCCATTGCTGGTCTTCTGAAAATGCTATACTGCTCCAAATGGCTTAAAAACTTTCTGACTCAAAACAATCATACAGATAAGAAAAACAAAAAAAAACTCAGATCTCATTATACCTCGCAGCTCTCACTGGTTCCTTCTACTGACCTCCACTCAAAACATTATACAGTAGTGACATGGAGGTCACGAGGAGGAACCGGTAAGAGCTGCGAAGCACCCAGAAGAGCCACATTCTTGCAAGAGAATTTATGTCTGTGGACTTCACAAAAAGATTTCTACTAAAGCAAGTAGCATTCTGGTGGCACAGGCAGAAGGAAACATACGTATCCCCTATCTTATTTACAGGTACACTTGTTTGCAAAACAGTTTTTTCACATCAAGATTGCTTAAAGCTGAATTCTGGGCACAGAAACTTTTATTTAAACATATTGCCATATAGCCATAAAATATTTAAATCCATTTTGCACCAAATGCCTTTGAAAGCCAATCACGGTGACATCATCACTGCTCTGTAAATGGCCTGTGCAGAGAGTAGATCTGTGGGAGGGACCCAGGGGACCCAGGAGACCCACTCTCTACGGGCTGCAGAAAACTACAGGAAGGGGCGGATACAAAACCAGTCACCCTGAACAAGGAGAGAGAGCAGCAGTGATCGATCTTCATCATGGGAAGCTCCGGCACAGAAGCAAAGTTTCACTGCACAGATCTGGAAGAAATAC